ACTTCCCTCTCCTTAAGTGCAATGCCTTAGAGGCAGCAGTGTTTAAATGGTACAAAGTACTCCACTAGCACCAGCCTGAATCTTTATTTAGGAGAACAAGCTTCACATTCTTCCCTGCTAACACAGTATATGGAAATGTTCGGCTCCTCCATAAAGCACACTCATACACGATTACTGTCTAGCCCAAGGTACAGCACTGACATGACAGATTCATGTTCCCAGCTGTGACATAAGGGCTCTTTGACAATACCACAGTGAAAGCCCTATTAAGAAAACATGTGCCGGACCGTGCATCTGATGCAGTTAAACGCTATAAAAGATTTTCCAGGTGTTAATGAGTTGCACGAGCAGAATGAAAATGAGGGGGATCCATGTGCTTGGAAATTCTCAAGGAGCAGGACTCAGGCTCTCAGAGAGACGGACAAACAGCGCTTTATAAGCACCACTGGCCACGCTCTGCACCTGACCATACGAGGTGATGAGCGACCCCGACTATTCACTGGGGGAACTGTTCATTGAGGATCCTTTGCATGGGAAAAGACAGAATTTCATGTCTTCCTGCAGTTTACTACATCCTTTTACTTTGCTCTGTTTGGGAAAAAGCACCAGTTATTTTCCCCCTTTTAAGCTTTTTTTTTTTCCCTAAAAAGAAGGAAAACATTATGCCTGTTGCTTCTTGTTTTAAGTTTTATGAGGGATTCAGCTTGACCCAGTATAGATAAGAAATTGTCATTTAGTTCATGTTAAAATATCACTACTTAGAGTTTATGTTTTAAAGAACAGACACACAGTCTGTTGAACACTTTGAAAAAGCAGTGGTTGGAATTTTTCAAGGCAATGATGATGTCTAATATAGATTCCTTTAAGATATGTATAAAATCCTATGTATGGGCTGCCCTGAGAATTTCAACCACCAATACTTCAGAGTATGTGCATATGTTATTTTGTGCAACAGCTACCGACAGGAGAAATGCTTATTCACATAATCTGTTGACTTGATAAAAAGATTATTTCATTTCTTTAGCATGTGTGAATTTTCTGGTTACTCTACTTGAGGAGGTAAGTTTTATTTTATCTATATATGACAGGTACAGTGAGGGAAGGCTGCAATGCAGACTGTTTCATGCTGTTGTGACCACAATCACAGCCTTAAGCCTGGCATACAACTGTAGCTAAGAAAAAAAAAGATAATTTTGTCGCCATGCTAATTTCAGCCTGATTTTCTGAAAAGGGGAAGCTCCCAGTAATATGACAACCAATGGAGTGTCTCTTCTCAGAAGTTAATTTAGAACCACCCATTTTATTTCCCACAGAAAAGTCAGTACTATTTTATCTCTCATTTCCAATCTAATATCCCAAGTTATCTACCCACTCTTCCCCCGCCCCAACAGAGTTACTTAAATTAACTTGGAGCACTAAATTTTCTTAAAGGCATAAGAAGACTAGGTGGAGAGAATAAGCAAACCATTGTTATAACACATTGACACAGATTCTTGAAATTGATGTCTGAAGGGTTAAATTCCTCTGGCTTGCCAGGTGTTCTGTGCAAATGCTGCATTCATACAATGTAGTATCTGACCATTTAACCATATGTCAAACAATCTTTGCTATGACAACCAGATGTAGACATTGCCATGGAATGAAATTATCATTTTATTAATTACCCTTTAATTAGTTGATACAGGAGAGAACATGCAGTAATTTAGTCATAATTGGCCTGACTGAGACTCAATACTTAAAGGGATGGAATCTGTTTGTGAGACTACTTGTTATGAATAACAATTATGTCTGTGACAATGCAATTTTATTATGAAGATGTACTATGCATTTCAAACACTATAAATTGGTATTAAGGATAGGTATAAGATAGTATCCAGGATTCTAGCTACAATTTGATGGCAACTAATTTCCTTGAATAAAAATCTGTAATCCTCTGTGTATTTTGCTACACATTATAACAATGCAAGAAAGACCCCTAACCAAACTCACTGTGATGACCTAAGTGTGTTTTCAATGCATTTTATTATAGAAATGAGGAGGCACTTACACTTCAGGCACTTCGCAAAATCTTTTTAGCAATCTTCAAATTATTCTAGACTTTAATATGATATTTATGCAAGGTGTGCACCCTGCAAATTTTTTGAAACGCTCTTTGACAAAACATTGTAATCAGAAACCTGAGCAGAGTCTCTTATGTGGTCACATGTCACCATACCTTTTGGATTTTTGTAAGAAAGGGGAACATCCCTAGATTTCTCAGACTACATACGTGTAAATAAAGTTGGCAGCACCCCTCTCTAGACTGTAGCAATAGGTAAATGTCTTGAAGACATTCTTTCACCACAGACTGCTGTTAAATCAGGAATACTCTTCACAGACTGAGTATTGAGTATCACTGTAGTAGGACAGAGCACATTCAACAGCTTAATAAAAATGCTTGTGAAGTGGATCTTAACATTGGCCCTTACATACCCAGTTGTTAAGAGATGTTTTTGTCATTCTGGAGCCATCATTCTGTCCTTGCTCTTCTAAACTCTATGACCTGAGAGAAGACTGCAGTGTTTTATATTAGTTTTGTACTTTTAGATGGACAACATGCCTCTTGTCTTTCCACAAAAATCTCAGAAATCGCAGGTCAAAACCTTCAGCAAACACATCTCAAACAAAATATAACCAACTGCTTTACTTTTCAGAGCTGAATGAAAGCTCTCTCCTTTTTTTTCTCATTGTGGGTAGCTCTTATTTTTTTTGCATGTGCAGTGACAGAAATTAGACTTAACTGAATTAGTTTTAAAACCTTGCCCAATTACAGCATGTTTATTTATTTCTTTATGATGGATGTGCAGGCTATATAGATGTCTCCAAGCCAAATAAGTCCTTCATGTAAATGTTGTAAGGTCAAGGAAGTTATACAAATGATAAGTCTGTTTCCTTTTAGAAATCCTTCTACCTTGCTTAAATGACTATGGGCTGCTTTCAAAGTTGGTTTTTCCTTTTCTTTTTAAACACAACATCCTTCCATCCTTTCTGATGGTTAATTCACTATTATGCTTCTTTAGCACAAATGTGTATATATATATGGAAAAACATGCTATACAGGAAAGCAAAACACCTTTTTGCCTAGGGTGCCATCTTCCAGTTAATATCAGTAAGTCATATTCTGTTGCTTATAAGTGAATCTTGCTCAACAACTTATCACCACCTCCAGTACAAACACTCACAGGTTGTATCTTCCTGCTGTGTCACAGGGAATAGCTAACACAGTGTAACAAGAGATCATTTCATTAGATTACCATGAAAGAATCGCTGCTGCAAGGAACTTGAGCTGAACAGGGACACAATCACAGTGTTAAAGCCTTGAAACAGTTTACCATTAAAGCCTTGTGTGACTGCTTGAGAAATGTCTTAGAGCAGCAGAAAAGCTGGCACCATTAGCTTTCATCCCTGCTGAGTTGGCAATAAAGTGCACACATAAGTAAAATGCATTAATTGGTATTAGTCAATCTAGTTAAAATGTTCATTCTCCAGGCATCTTCAGATTTCATTTCCATAAAATAGGATTTCTTTAAGTCACATAATTTGATTTTGTCCAGCCCAAAATGATACTGACACAGTGGCAGCAAAAGCACAATTACACCCCAGCTGTATAAAGGTGCTCTCTATCTAAATAGACTGGGACCCACGTGCTCCCAGTCTCTCTCTCTCTCTCTCTCTCTCATACACACACACACACACACACACACACACACACACAGAGAGAGAGAGAGAGAGGGGAAAAAAGCATCCCACAGGAAAAAAAAAACTGTGGAAGAGGAAAAAGTGATGCATTTTCCTAGCATTTTCCTAATGCTATTTTTCCTCCCTTTCCCCCGTATTTTTCCTACTGTGCACTACTGATTACTGCACTTTTAAGATCAGAATGAACAATTAACTGCCTAATTATTCCAGTCACACCAAGCCACAATGAAATCTTTATTCAGTGTTTACAGCAATCTCTGGCAGAGACTGTCTTGCTGTTTTTAAACCAAGAAGAACTGCTCCCTTTGGCTCCCTTCAGCATCAGCTGCCTGGGTTTCAGAGCTGGATGCCAATAATCAGCCTCCTTTTTCTCTTCCAAAGTGGCTATTTTTTTTTTAAGGGTGAAAAGACCTATTCTCATCAACTCCCCATATATTCTGCCTGATTTATGTCCCAGCCACTGGGTCTCTTCCTTCCGTATCTTTTGCCATTTGTGTCCCCCCGCAGCCCCTCCGGCGGCGCCCGCCGAGCCCCGGACACCCCCGGACACCCCTGGAGCCGCCGGGCACCCCGGACAGGGGGGAGCCTCTTCCTCGGGAGCCCTGGAGAGGGGGCGGGAGGCGGGATGGGGGGTGGATAATGCCCATCTCCGGCTGCACAGCATCCACACGCATCCACACACGCACACCTTCTCCCACAGTTCTTTCTCGCTCTGCCGAAATCTCGGAGGAGGCTCCCCGCCCCGGGAAAGTTGGAGGGAGCCGCTCCACGCCCCGGGCGGCTCTTTCTGCCCGCTGTCCGTGTCTCCGAGCTGCTCCCCGCTCCCGATGCTCCGAGCCCCGCTCCGCCCTGTGCTGCCGGGCTGTGCCCGCTCCCGCCGCGGCGCCAGGGCACCTGCGGAGCGGGGCAAGCTCGTCCCAGCCAAACTCCAGAGCGACCCGGGCTGGGCTAGCTCCGTTCCCCACCGCCTCCTCCTCGCCCTCTGGCTGCGGCTGGACAGCCAGGGGGTCGGGGAAAGAAAAAAAAAAAAAAAAAAAAAAAACAAAACAGGAGGAACAACTAAGATGAAAAGAATACTAAAATCCTAAGGAGAAAAGAAAGAAAAAGTAAAGGAGAAGAGAGAAAAGGGGGGGAAAAAGGAAAAAGGAAAGGGGAAAAATAAGAAAGAAATAAAGGAACAAAAATAAAGAAAATGAGAAAAGAAAGAGGGGGGGAAAGGAAAAAAGCAGAAGAAAAAGTCCGCGAAGGAGAGGTCGGGTTACCTTGCAGCGCGGAGGAGCTCCCGACTCCCTTCCCGGCGACGGGACTTCCCTGCTCGGCCGGGCGCGCCCCTCACATCCCGCGCCCCCGCTCCCGCCGCGGAAGGAGCAGCCGCTCGCTGCTGTCCCCGGTGCCGAGAGCCGCTCGGGCTGGGGGGGCTGCGCGGCCGCGGGCGGAGGAGGAGGAGGAGGAGGAGGAGGAGGAGGAGGAAGGAGCCCCGCGGCCGCCCCGCTGCCCAGAGCTGCCCGCGGGCAGTGGCCGCCGCTGGCCCCGGCTCGGCTGCCCGTGGGTGTCGCGGCGGGTCCGACGCTGCCGCGGGGACCTGCGGGAGGCGACTGGTGCCGGAGCTGCGCCCTCCTGCGCCGCCCCCCGCCCTCCTTCCCGGGAAACCCCCGCCCCAGCTGCGGCCCCCGGGCTCCACGCAGCCCCCGGCTATAGGAGAGAACCCCGGGTGTCCCCTCCGCAGGGCTGGCTACATCTCGGGAGGATGCCAACACGCACCACAGTGGCTGCTGAGGTAGACCAAAAGTCACACCGGAGAGGCGAAGCGGTCCTTTATTTAACTAAAAGGGTGCGGAGATGAAAGCTGAATTTCTTTGGAAGGCTCGATTTTAGTTAATAAACACGCTGAGACTAATGTCAGAGCTACTTTTATGAGGGCAAACAGTAGAGTTTCCTGGAGGGTTTGTGTAAGACTTTTGAAAAACAACCAAATAATAAAGGGGTTTTACGTCCACCTTTAAAGATCATTTTAGTGTTCATAAAAGCTGCCAGGCCTGCTGAAATACTCCCCATCCACAGAACAACAACTGTAAAAGCAGGGGCAGGACAAGGCATCCTTTCTGCCAACTAATTCGTCTCGATCTTGACCTGAAGCAGCCAGGAGGGCAGGTATTCCTTATCCACCATTCCTGTGCTAGCCTTCATCTTTCTGCACAGAATGGGAAGGCAGCAAACTTGCACCAACTTTGATGGTGTGTATGTATGAAAAAGAGAGGGAAACTTGTCCACTTGGGTATGAGGAGGTTATTACCTCTCTAATAGCTCCCTGTAGCAATAACTCCTTGTTGCTGCCAGCACACAGCCCATTCCCTGTCTCAGTTAAATTGGTAAATCTCAAGCAACTCCACTAAGCAGAGCTGTGCCCCATCAGTCTGTGGCCAAGCCGGTGAGTGGCAGTAGGAGACTCTAAATCTCATTATCGATTATCTGGGACGCTGCCAGTCCCTCAACAATTAGATCTTGAGATGAGGATTCAGATTATACAGTCAAGATTTGTTTTGGGTGGGTTTTTTTGTTTTCTTTTTTTCTCTCCAGATTTGCACTAATGATTATTTGCAGAACTGAGGTCTCACTGGCTGGTTTTCTGGCCCTGCATTTTTCATATTGATCGTAACATAGTCATTTCAGCATTACAGAAGAAAAAATGGCAGTCAGATCTCTGGAGAGAAGTTGCTGGAAGTTTGAATGCTGGCAAAGTGCCCAAAACAAATGATGAATTACAGCTATGATAAATGAATACTTGGGTGTGTTGGGAAGCCATACAATGTTCTCCCAGTTTCCTCTTTTTAATGTTCATCTTTGAGCTCATCCTCAGGCTGAGGGAACATTTTTAATGCAGCAGTTGGAGGAGGCAGGAATGGCCTTTGTCAGCATTACTGGTCAGCCACAGAGTCTCGGCACACTTCTGACAAAAATAAGGCAAAAAAGACCACTTTTCCCTAGTACTAGGACAGAATACTTGTAATAACATCTGGAAAAGTATCAGAACCCCATTACGACTTTGAGTATAATAGCAAGAGCAATGACCTCTTGCTAGAACTGACCTGGTTACTGAATCAATGCACTTACTTCTTGTATTTGCACACATCCCCATTCCTCTGCTTCAACATACTTGGAATAAGTCTGACTGCAATCTTAAAGGCTAATAGATGCCACTTGAAAAGTTTGCATTTCAGTCTGTTTGCATTCATAGTCTGTGAGTTTTTCTTCCCTGAGTTGGACTGCAGTAGGGGGAAAAAGTCAGAATAAAATACATGTGACAGCTTTAACAGAATGGCGACTCTAATTGATGTCCTTAGATTATTGAATGTACTACAGTTCCATGAAAATAAAATGCAGTACTGTCTATTGTTTAAGTTTATAATTTAGGGTTAATATATAGTACATAAGGCAGCACTCCTATGTGACACAGAAAACACAAGAGAATTTTATGATACACAGAGTAAGCACTAGAACAAATCCATGCATTTAATAAATGAACTTCTCAGTTTCACATACACAGCCAAATGGGCTATCCAAACATTGTGTTTACTAAAGCAGATGTGGCTGCATACTTTAAATTCTGTCTCATGTGTTGTCTTCTTTCACAGGGACATGATTCAGTAACGTGCCTGTGACTTATCTTTTCTGAGACCTGTGCTACACAGTAAAATAGGAGGAACTTACATTTTCACTGTCTCATGCTCCCCTCCCAGTACACAGCTGAATCACGCAATCTGAAGAGTGCTTTCTTGTGCCTCTGACACTGGAGTTGAGAGATTGTGGCAAAGAATGTGTTCATCAACTCACCTGTCGCAGCATCTCATGTTTTCAACCACCAGGCTTTTTCAGGAAAAATGAGAGAAAGTTTCAAACATTCATATGCGAAATGCACGTGCAGAACGGGTGGATGAAGAAGTGTCTCACCTCCTTCCCCAAAAACATGAAATAAAATTACAATTTTAAATGAAAAAAAAGGAATCGAACTATTAAACCTTACATGAACAATAAAAATCAATTGTTGAATCTAGACCATTTATTAAGCACAGTTGTGATTAAGTGTCCTTACATGAAAGAAGTGAATCTTTCATCTCCAATACTCCCTGCCACCATACTATACATAATTCTAAAGCCATACAGAGTAAAAAAAAAAAAACTAGAAAATGCAGCATGCTGAGTTGTTTTAAAATTTAGAGGCTTTCTGAGAGATGAAAGAAGCATTTTGCTATCACTGTTTGAACAAGAAAATTTTGTATGCTGCAAGGTATTTACACTGTTCTCCTACAAGGAAGACTTTGAAGATGAAGCATTATTTATGGATATTGCTTATGTGTTCATATAGCTTTCTGTCACGCAGGACTGAAACAAGATATGAGTTGCAACTTACCTAAATGACAAAGGTGAAGGAGCAAGAGAGGAGAAAGCAGGAAAACAACTATTTTCCATTTTTATGTCATTGCATGTCATACCACAGCTTTTATGTTTCTGTCTTATACCCCTGCCTCACTTTATCCAGCTTGGTTCATTATTCTTCTGACAAGAAAAGAGGGTTTGGATTTTGCAGGTGTGGACTGTGTGTGGTGTCACTTTAGAGGTGGCTAACAAGAAACACTCTTTACAAATACTAGAATGGTACATTTGCACCAAGACATGTCAGAGAAATTGATATGATGGAATTTTTGTAGCACCTCTGTGACTTTTTAAAATAGTGGATGTTTATTTCACCATTGATTTGCTTTTGTAGTTGATCACGACCTAAACTGTAATGATTTGTATTGTGCAATAAATCACAGCTTTTTAAAATACAACAATTGTTAAGGGCACTATAGAATCTATTTGACAAGGCAAAAAGAGTGATTATTCACTAAAAAAGATTCCATATACCAAACAATAAAATGAATCCATGACCCAAAAGCAGTAAGTTTCCAAAGCAATAAAACAATATTGCACATTGCTGAAGAAGTGACATAGCAAGACAATGCATCTATAACAAGAATGGTGAAAGGAATATGTGCGGTCATAAAGTCACATCCATCTCTGTAAAATGTTACTAAACCAGTAATAGGAATAGCTTTCAAGTTGTCATGTCCACAGGGAAGAATATCAGCTGTACTTGCAGCCAAGAAAGGCCAGGCTGTTATGTACTACAGTGGTGAAACTCCTGACTGCTGTACAGTCTGTTCAAAAAGCATGCATGCACACAAAATCCAGTGGAGAAATTAATAAGACTTCAGCACAGGACACAAAGACAGTATATGGCTGAACCCGTTGTGCCACATGTGTACAGATGTACCCCAGAACCTCTTATCCAGCAGGCTCCAAGACAAGGCTTTCCCCATCACAGGCTTTTCTTTTGGCCTTCACTCTCCTTTTCTTCCAAGGAATCAGTGATGTGTCTCTCAGGCCCCCCATCCCCTTGGAAGTAAGGCCTGATTTTAATCCTTCTCAAGGGGTTATCTGAGCTTACCACGGTCAAAAAATCTTTGTAATGTTTTCCTCCCTCAGAAAAGAGGGATCCCCTCCCTCTTTGCTCTGCCTTTTTTTTTTGTTGTTTTGCCTTACTCAGTCACTTAATATAGTGGTTTATCTCCTTTGTTGCTTATGCAGGGTGGAGAAGACAAATCTGACACAGCTTTCTTCTTAGTCACCTTTTCTTCTATAACAATTAAAGAAAACTTTATTTAAGCATGTATTTAAATCTGGTGGCCATCTGGAAATACAGCCTTGTTTTGGGCTATCTCCTGCTCTTTAAAATAAAGTCTTTGTCTCTGCCACCTCTCCTTAAACTTAATTATCAGTTTATCATATTAGTCTTGTTTTAGTCTATTGTTTCTTGAAAGGTCTGTAGGATTCAGCATCTCCTTTCTCAATGGCTGTTCATAAGTAAGAGATTAAATTAGAATATGGATGTCTATTTCTGCTAAAAAGACCATGAGCATGGTTTTCTCCATCAGTGTCTTCAGAATAGTAATTTGTGGTCTGGAGTCACTGAGGAAAATACTCACTTTTTCTCCTGCTGAGAGAGGCATTAGCTTTTCCTTCACACAAGTCTTTAAAACTCCACAGCAGTGGCAGGGAATCCCAAGAGTAGGAGTCAGCTTTACAGCTCTGGGCTTTATTAATTTAGTTTGAAACCTGATTTGTTTCAAGACAGCAGCAAGAAAGTTTACTGAGTCCTATTCACATCTCAAAATGTCACCTCAGATGGAGGGCACCAGGGGACTCGCATGGCTGAAAGCCTCAGAGGGAGCTGCCAAGGAACTGCCATGTCATCTTGGCCTCAGCCTGGCCTCTCCCTGACTGTACCCATTTCATTTTGCTTATTTTTATCAGGGCATGTGGAATTTCCAAGCGAAAACAAAGGAAAAATACACATGTCTGTATTATTACAACTCTACCTA